CCAGCATTGTTGCAATTTTCAATGAAATGGGTGACATGTTGTTTTGGGTTTCCCTTCCCATCAAACTGCAAGAATTTTGGCGGTTGATAACCTCTCAGCATCTTCAAGGCGTCAATCTTCTTGGAGTAGGGCTTTGAGTACAACATGGAGATGTGTGAGCTCTCTTCGTACTATGCCTTGATGGTGTCGATGATCATCTCCTGCAGCTGATGGATAGAAAGAGATCCCATGAGTGTTACCACTTGGTCTGGCTCTTGCTCTTCTTTGACTTTCTCCACCGGAGGCTCCTCTTCTTCATTGGCTCCTCTCTTCAGTGGATTAACCTTTGGGTCGGGTTTCTCGTCATTCTGTGTCTCTAGTCGGTTGACGAGTGCAGCGATTTGCAAGTTCTTTTCTTCCACCGTCCATGTTAGCCTTGCGATTGCTTCATTCATTCAAGCCAGCTGCGCATCGATTGAAGTTGCTCCGGTGATCATGACTTGCATGACTGAGCTGCCGTTTGAGTTGGCATCAAAAGGCATGGACTTGGAGTCATTCCTTGGACTTTCCTCCCTTGGCGCCCTTAGCAAGGCCAAGGTGATCACAGGCACGTGCCTCAAGTGTTCTTGTTCCTTTGGCAAAGTTGATGCAGAGGTGGAAGAGGTGGCAGAAAAAGCTCTTGCCTTGCTTCGGGTTATGATGCCCGAAATATCACCACTTGCAACGAGGATGTTTTTATTCTTCGCTTTGATTGCAGGAACAGCTTGATCCTTTCTTGATGCTATTTGCACTTTTTGCAGATTTAAGGATAGAGATGAGAGGTAGAGATGGTCCCACCGGGCTTGCCAAATTTGTGAACACGGAAATTTTTTGAAACAAGAACACGTGTACAAAAATAATATTTGTGTTGATTTTGGGGTTACAATCTCTTCTACAAATTTAGCCTCTGATTCTATCTTTGTAAAATGTAGATATGTGGATGGGTTGTTGATCCAAAGGGTCGTCGGGGCTTGGTCTAGGGATGAACAGTTATGCGGATTTATTGATGTTGTTGATCCCAAGGGCCGTCGGGGCCTAATCTTAGGATGAACGGTTGATGAACGGATCTTCAAGGGGTTTTGGGCTTGATCTTAAAGAACGAGTGTTTGTTGATCCAAAGGGTCGTCGGGGCTTGATCTTGAAGAACAGGTGTGCAGATTTGTTGGTGTTGTTGATCCAAAGGGCCGTCAGGGCTTGATCTTGAGTTGGTGGAAGTTCTTCAAGGGTCGTCGAGGCTTGATCTTGAAGGAGGATTTGACGAAGAACGAAGAGGGCTTTCTTGATCCTTCAGGATTTGCTTGAGAGCTCTAGAGTTTCAAAGCTTCAAGGTTTTTTTGTGATGTGAATTGGTGAAAAAAAATGAATGAAATTGGCTTCTATTTATAGAAATTTTCAAGGCCTAATTTTGAATATAATATTCAGATGAAATAAATCATTTATGCCAGGTGTTGACACATGTCCTATTTGATGACTTTTCTAATTCATTTCAATTTTTCGTTGAGTGACACGCTACGTGTAAAATTTATGTGACGCATGAGCGTTGAAATTTTATTTATTGGTCAACATTCATTTCATCGAAATTTCGATGTCTACATGAACATCTTTAGATGATCAGTGACGATGCGTCAATCCTAATGCTAATACTAATTTCGTATTCTTAATGAGAATCATATATTTTGTATAGATAGCTTTAGCTATCATATGCATACACATGTTCTCCCTGTATAATACGTAATTAGTCTTTAACCTGAAAATTTAAAAAACAATTATTTGTGCTTTCCTCTTAGGGTTAATTGGTATGTGAAAGCTCGGATACCAAATGTAAGATCAATATATACGGAATAAGTAAATCACAATATCAAATTAACCACTAACATAGTGATGCCATTGCTGCAATGAACTAAGGATTCTTCTACTCTCAACACATACCGAATGCACTGCTACTATCAATGGGGCTTGATATCTTTTTGTGCGTAATTAGTGTGATATGAGTAGATATATCTATACAGATATGAATATTACTTCAAAACATTAAATATTACTTCAAAAATACTTGACCAAAAATATATGCATACCATTTGTCATATAAATATTACTTCAAAACATTAAAAAAAAAATTGTCTTTCAAGTATTACATACTCCAAAATTAGAGCCTAATGAAAAAACATTAGTACATTACTATAAAATACCAAATGTTCAAGAATATGCAAAATAAAGAGAGTTGCGTTTCAAGATTGAGGAACCTTGCACATTTATATATGCTTTCACATTTTTTAGACTTAACATTAATGATTATAAATTTTATTTATTTTGAACCCCCTTAAAATACTATTCATGAGGGTTTGTATGGTTTTAAAAAATTCAAAGATGCTGTATCCATACTCAAAGCATAGAGGATGCGTTCACGAGCCTTTGCATATTTTTTCACATCTTTTGCACTTGTAAATTAATTATTATAATTTTTTTAATGTGTTTGGTATTTTTAAATAATTTGATACTTTAATTTTAATGTGTTTTATAATTTTTTAATCTCACTCTTTAATTATAGTATACTATAAAAATAAATAAATAAAACTTAATCTTTTAAAAATTTGTATAGAATAATAATACAATAATACATATTTAATGTACAATATATACATATACACTATGATTATTGTATTTTATAGTAAGGTTTTTTTCGTAATTTAAAAAGTTAAAATCATCAAAATAACTTTTTTCGTAATGTGTCAAAATAGATTACCCGCGTGTCACCTTCATGTAAACCTGTTAAGGATCCAATTAGTTATCGTGTTGACCCGAAACCCGTTATTTTTGTGTCGTTTACGTGTAGTGTTAACATGTCGCATAAGAAATTACCAGATCTAGTCGATGGTGCAAAATTAGGTATAAACAGTACTATATTATTCCATCGTACGAACATTTAGCCAAGCAAAAACTCTATTTAAATAAACAAAAGTCATAGTAACACAACACATCATACAACAACAATGGGACCAAAATGAATTTTTTATAATGTATTAGAAAATTATTAATTTATATTTGATATGAAGGAAAATTTTTGTGACATCCCACATCACCCAGGGGTGATCCTTATATGTATATCCCATCCTTACCTAGCACGAGGCCTTTTGGGAGCTCACTGGCTTCGGGTTCCATGGGAACTCCGAAGTTAAGCGAGTAGCGCGCGAGAGCATTCCCAGGATGGGTGACCCATCGGGAAGTTCTCGTGTGAGTTCCCAGAAACAAAACCGTGAGGGCGTGGTCGGGGCCCAAAGCGGACAATATCGTGCTACGGTAGTGGAGCGGGCCCGGGAAGTCGTCCCACCCGGGCCGGGATGTGACAATTTTGATTTATAATAAGTTCGTTTGAGCAACAAACATATAGCATTTAACAATTAAAAGGAAGAAGCTAAAGCATATGTACTCAAAAACAAAACTTTACCCATTAAATTCAAAGCAAAGTAGTTGTGAACTAACACTCAACTCAAATTCAAAGAGAGAGTTGAGATTTCTCTATATCTTTCAAGTTTCTATTTGCATAAGTAAGGCTAATCACTCACGAGAAGGCTCTCATTTCTCTTCGTAAGTTTGAACTCCATGGACTTCATCTTCATCATGTTGCCTCCTTGGATTCTTGGATTTGGATGCTTAAACGATTCTCCAAAAGTCTCCAAAATAAGAGACCTCTTTCTTTTCAACGCCAAGAATGATGGAAGGAAAAAAAAAATGGGTGACATGGGAGGAAGAGATTGTTAGCTATATCCTCCCATGGTTACATATGTTGAGAAATGAAAAATATATGGCAAATTATACAGTATTTTTCGTAATTGATCTAAAAAAGTTGAAAAGAAAATGCATACTTTTATAAGAATTGGATTTAGGCTCCAACCGTTTAAGAGAAGTAAATTTTTAGCAGATGCGATTACTAATGTCGGGTTTCATTTTAATGATCTACATGTGTGGGATAAATCGTTCCTATTGTGGCACACAAGACCTATTCATTTGATTGTACGAGAACTGGTTGTGACCATGATCATACTCTCTTTAATATATGTCTTTGTTTCAAAAAAAATAAAAATAAAAAATAAATAAAATAATAAAATAAAATAAAATAAAAAACCAAAAAACTATGGGGAGGACGTTTTAAACTCCAAACTAAGTAAGTTGAAGAGAAAATATCTTATACAAAGTGTTGATTTAAATCAATTTTTTCAATCGGAACATCAAATAATAAAATTAGGCAAAATAAACCCAATAGAGGAACTACACACTCCTAATTTCTGGAAAATGATCCTAGATGGATTCCTTCCTAGAGATCTTAAGGATCTTGCAATTGTGACCGTTCATCGTACATCGTGCAGTCAGTTTTCGTTAGGTACTATTTATGTTTATTTTTAAAATTTGAAATTATTTCTGACCGCACGAAGTACGATAAATGGTCACGATCACGAAATTCTTAGGATCCTCATAAAAAGGATCCGACAAGGATCCTTTTCCCTAAAGCCATCTCCAACCGAGGGCTAGCCAAATGGCTCATTTTAGCCTTCTGACCCTCCCAGAAATTAATATTTTAATGAATAGTACGAGGTCATATTTGCCTCCGTCTCCAACTAAGGGCCAAAAGACCATAGGGCCAAACATAATTTATTATTTAAAAACTACAACTTAAATTCAAATCCAACGGCTAAGTGACGTCAGCTAGCCGTTGGATTTGAATTTTTCTTTTACTATAATAGGGTGGATATTAGGCTATAATTCACACAACTTTAAATTCAATTTATTTCAATTCAATCTTTTTTAATTCAAGTTTGCAATGAATTCCAACTTTGGATCCTCTTCGGATTCCAACTGGGGGTCCTCATCCAATTCCAAATTGGAAAAAAAAATGGGTGCAAATGAGACAAGAAGATGAGTAGTCTGCTGAAGAAGTTCAAGTAAAGCACAACAAACAAAACAGAATAGCAGCCATAGCTACGGCTATGGTGTGTCAGCCAACTGAAGAACAACCTCAATGGGGTGACTCTATTGCTAGTCGCTCTTACAAACCACAAAACAAAGCGTTGTCACATACCAATCTAATGAACAACTACTTCAACCCCAACTCGGTGTACACAGAAGAAGATTTCAGACATCGCTTCCGGATGAGGCGTCATGTCTTCAAGCGTTTACTTCATGATGTCCAATTGGTCAATCCATACTTTCGACAGAAGCAGGACAGAGCAAGCTGCCCTGGTTTCTCACCTCATCAGAATGTTACTGTTGCACTCCGAATGATGGCCTATGGCTCCCCAGCTGATTCGATGAATGAAACTTATGGTATGTCTAAGTCTACATGCCTTGATACTCTTGAACAATTTTGTGACATAATTGTTCAGGTTTACTAAGACGAGTACCTCCGCGAGCCAAATCAAGAAGATCTGAATCGGCTCCTTCGCAAAGCTGAAGACCTTGGGTTTCCGGGCATGATAGGGTCATTAGACTGCATGCATTGGGATTGGAAGAACTGTCCCACCGGATGGCAATGAGGCTTTAACGGAAGGTCGAGAAAGCCAATTGTTGTGTTAGAGACAGTTACCTTATATGACACATGGATCTGGCATGCTTTCTTTGGAGCCCATAGATCTCAAAATGGCATTACAGTTCTTGGGCGTTCACCCCTCTTCAAAAACTTGACGGGAAGGTAAAGCACTTCAACTTGACTACTACATCAACAACCGTCAATACAATATGGGGTATTACTTGGCAGATGGCATCTACTCAGAGTGGGCAACACTTGTCCAAGAAATTCCAAACCCTAGGAATGACGTAGAAAAGTTGTTTACCTTACACCAAGAGGCATACCGGAAAGATGTTGAGAGAGCTTTCGGTATTCTACAAGCACGGTGGAAGATCATTAGCGAACTGACAAAAGGGTGGAGTTGAGAAAATTTGGACTCCATCATGATGTCTTGCATCATATAACACAATATGATAGTGGAGGATGAGCGAGATGGGTATATTGATGGAGAGTCCGATGACGACCAAGAAGATCCAAATAGGCCAAGAAGGGCTTGTGCAAAAATATATGATGGGCCTAATTTGCCTTTCAATTCAAGAACTGGTAGTATCTCTATAAATGAGTACATGAGGCTATAGAATGATACATTCTCGTGCCACAAATAAGTACTTACAACAGGATCTTGTTGCACATCTTTCGGCTAAAAGAAGCATTGTGGATGCAAATTTCTTCCTACTTGATCTTGGACAAAATTGCACCTATAAAACAAATAACACCTTAGGTCAAGGCCAAGAGCCTCACGCCCCCACAATGAATGAGGAGGGCTTTGGCCGAAGAACCTCCGATGCTAAAGTTAGAATTTATGTTTGAGAGTTTTGGAGAATTTTAGCAAGAGTGTGGAATGATCTTTTGGTGAAAATGGGAGCCAATTTATAGGGATACGCCGGTCCTCTTTGGAGAAAGAGTAGCAGGCCATTAGGTGGGTTTTTGGGTTTAATTTTGGTTTAATTAGCCAATTTTAATAGGTATTAATTGGCTAATTAAACATAAGGGGAATGTTTTGGTGGTTATAGAATATTTAGAATAAATAGATAATTAGGTTATGTAATAATTAGCTAATTGATTTAGCTAAAAAAGAGAAATTAGGTAAAAGATATATGGGGTGAAATAAATTTTAGGGATTACCTTGTAGAAGGATTTGATGAGATGAATTTTTGAATTGTTACCTTTTTTGGGCATTTCTGATTTGGTTGAGAATGATTGCCCGCTACTCGCACGTAGGAATCCTGATATGCCTCAAGTATATTTTTGTCTTCTTTATCCAAAAATTCACGTGTCGCTTTGTGAATATTTTTGGCTCCACGAGCATGCAATAGGTGTTTAAGTTTTATGTTGTTAAATAATTTTAAAAATGTTGTTTAAGTTTCATGTTGTTAAATGTTTTTTTTATGTTATATAATTTGTATGTTGGTTAATGTTATTTAATGTTGTTTCATATTGTTTAATGTTGTTTCATGTTACTTAATTTAATTTAATGTTGTATAATGGCTTAGGAAGTTATAGGAAAAAAATATAATTTAAAAAAAAAAAAAAGATGAAACAAATTTTGTGAAATAGAAGTTATAAGAAAAATTTTGTAAATAAAAAATAATAATGAAATTGTATAAATAAATCAAATGTAGCGGTTAGCTAACGTCAGCTAGCTGTTGCATTTGAATTTTAACTTAAGGATTTAGGGTTTATGGCCTCCAGCGCTTTCAGATTCCGTGGGGTCCTCTCAGATTCCACAAGCCTTCTGGTCTAGTCCTAGATTGGAGACGATTTTCGAACTATTTTCGACCCTCTGGACATTTCGGTTGAAGATGACCTAATTTCCATCCCACGTCACTCTCCAAAGTCCAAACGCTAGAATGGTAATTCTCCACCTAACAAATAAAATCACCCTGCCTCTATTTACTCTGCATTTTCTCGCACTTTCCCTCGAACCTCTGTTTTTTTCTCGGCCAAATCCCCCTCTCAAACTCTTCCGGGGCGATTGGATCTGAGTATTTTTTTATTAAAACTCTATCCGTTCCCATCAATCCGGAAGAGAGGCCTCCAATCCTCTGTCTCTCCTCAAATTCTAGGGTTTTTGGATCTGAAAAGGCTAGGATTTTCTTGCTCAGTTCGTCAAAGTTAGGATCTTTTTCTCCAAAAAAATTGAAGGGTTTTGGGCAGGCAACACGGAGAAGGCTGAGCTGCCAATGCCATTGTTGGTTTGGAAATTGGTGAATTTTTCGGTGATTTTTGAGAAACCGAAAAAGTTTGAGTTTTTAGAGTTGAGAAGAAGCAGCATCAATGTCTTGGGCAGGCCCAGAAGATGTCTACCTTTCCACTTCTCTGGCCAGCTATCTTGACAGTATTCTCTCTCTCTCTAATTTATACTTTTTATTTCTGGGGTTATGAATTTGCATTTGTTACATGAAGTTAATGGTAATTCTTTCAAGTTTCTAGTTGTTTTTACTAATTGTATTCTTGCATAGTTGAAACATTTGGTCTTTTTACCATTTGAGTATTTTTCTCGTATTTGTTGATTAAATTCAGATAATTTGCAGGTAGGGTCCCGCAGAATAAATTGTTTTCTTGTATTGAAGTTTTGCTGTCTGAGTATTCCTTTAAATCTCGGTTTCAATGATGAATTTTTGAGTTGAGTGCTAGTGAAAAGAGTCTGGAGTTTAGTAATGGTGGATCAACCATTCATTTTCTTACTGCTAAAGGTGTGGTGGTCATATGCTTTCATGCTGCAGAGAAACTTCTTGTGCTGCTCCGTGATAGTCGAAAACTTTTGGGGATACTTCGATCGTTTGATCAATTTGGTATTAACATTATTTCCTCTGTTGTTGAGGGCAAAAGATACTGTAATTTCGCTGAAGATTCTGAAGTAATAATTGTTTCTGATTTGCAGCCAATGCTGTTCTCGAGGGTGCTTGTGAGAGAGTCATTGTTGGCGATCTTTACTGTGATATCCCTTTGGGTCTGTATGTTATCCGTGGGGAGAATGTTGTTCTAATCGGCGAGCTGGTATGATACATTATCTGTTGATTTGTCATCTATAACTCAAAATATGCATCTTTGAATAATGTTTATATCTGCACTTGATGTCTTAGGATTCAGAGAGGGAGGAACTTCCACCGCACATGACTCGTGTTTCAGCTGCAGAAATTAAAAGGGTAAGTGTTATCAGCTCATAATCTTTATAAATGGTGTGTTGATATAAACTACCTCAATTTCGTTCTTTTTCCTTTGTTGAATTAACATCTGTTTTGGTCTCCAAATGTTCAAGTTACTGAGTTGTTTTAGATTGAGTTTGTAACTCCAGTGTTATGTTGTGTAGTTTAAAAGCACCTGGTTTGAACACAAATATTATGAAGACTTGAGACGAAAATCTGCAATGAAAATTAGTAGGTTAATGGTGCAGTTTGAAGCACAGCTTCATCACAATTTAGGAAGCTTGATTCTATAACTTATAGGATGATTTAATCGGCCAACTTAGTTGTGCCTTAAGCATTATGTTCAAGGGTAAGCGTACTGATGAATGGCGGGATAAGAGTGTCACTTGTTCTATTGGTATCAACTTAAGTATACGTAAAATACAAAGTAAATATAAATACTGTTAGAAAAATGTAATATCCAACAGCACTAGAGTAAGGCTACGGTGATTATTAGCCCAAAAGTTTGTGTTTGTAGGGGTAATTCTAAATACTGTTAGAAAAATGTTTCCTTCTTTCCTTTTTTCTTTCTTATGTATTGGAATCACTAGGTGAACAGAAAATTGTTTTTGGGTCAACCAAAACTGATAGTAATTATTTGAAGTTGAGGCAGAATTTCTTCAACGGGTTGGTTCCCAGCGGGTTTGAATTTGGTGAAATTATCAGAGAGAGAGACGGGCCAAAGGCCCACTTCCAAGTTTCCAACAACACCGATATTGTCCCCAACTTGGTAATTATCACCTATACAATCCGTCAGGTGTGAGGTTTTATCACAAAAGACTTCGGAATTAGTTGGAGTCGGGTTCGGATATCTAAACTCTTCTTTTCTCAGAGATACGGTTGATGTGGGATATTTCAACAGAATTAGGGCTTTTCTGATGCTGGGGCACAGCAATCGGTGGTTTAACTTCAGTCAAGATTTTATGTAATTTGAATGTGTCATTTCTTTTTCGGTTTGCATGTTTGTCATTTGTTCTTTGACAGTGTTTTTGTGACGTTTGGCTCCGCTTTGTTATATTTGGATACGTCGCTTTACTATTTTGTGGGAAACCTGTAGTGATGATTTACTTTGTAATTGGGCAGGCACAGAAAGCAGAAAGGGAAGCTTCTGATCTTAAAGGTACAATGAGAAAAAGAATGGAGTTCCTTGATATGGATTAACGGAGTTTTACCAAGTTCGTGGACTTACTCGCTGCCCATTCTGCAAATATTATAGCAGTGCTTTTCATTCTCTTCTTCCTCCGGTAGTTAGCTGATGTTCGTGCATGGTAGATGTCAAATCTCCAGAAATTAGAATTTCAATGAACAGTAGTTCAAATTTCTTTCTGTAATATTTGGCTGAATTGATGGAAGTATCCCTTTGCTTTAAAAGTTTCACTATTTTTTGTGGATTCCAAAGTTCTAGGGAACCCTAATATAGCTTGTTCATAGACCATTGACAGCAAGAATATTTGTCTTTTGACACATCGAAGATTTGATTTGGTGTCACTGTAAGGAAACCTTCTAAGATGAAAAATGCTCGTGTTTTCGGCCTGGACCCTTTAGAGATTGATTACTGATGCAGGAAATATAGACTCTATCTAGCTGCTTTACGGGTCCAGGCCGACTATACTGGCAATAATGCAAGGAGGATACGATGATTTTTTTTTGGAGTATTACTGCAATATTTCTTTTACTACAACACATGATGCATTTTTTTTTTTTATGGATGACGTGATGATTTAATTCTTGAACTATCCTCTCAATGAAAGTTAGGTCCTTAAATTATTTGTTCAGTAAAATAAGTTCCTAAATTCATTAAAAATTGCTAATTTCATCAATATTATTATATTCAAAGCTATTTAATCTAACTTTCGTCAACATAAGTCACTTTGACACACTTTAAAGTCTAATACCGTCATTTTCTCCAATATAAGGCCTTACTATTTCATATGGTTGTGAATCTCACGTCTAATTTACCCTTCAAAGTTAACATCATACACTATTTCTTTATGTAAAATTACCATTCTACCCTTCAATATGTATCACATAAAAGTATCATAACTTAAATTGACGAAAAATTGAATATAGTAGTTTCAAATCTAATATTAGGGATATAATTGGTAAATTTTTATAATTCAATGACTAATTTGTCTGAAAACAAATAATTTAAAGATCTAATTTTCACTCAAATAATAATTTAGATTCTAATTTACCCTTTTTTTTTTTATTTCACCAACATTTCAGTCTCGTAATTTTCATAGAGTGCATTTTTAATACTTTCTGAAGTTTAGGTAGACTGTCCAAAAATTATTGAAAAATATAATCACCATGACACCAACTGCATTGACTTTCATGGCATTCGTCACATAACCGTCCAAAGCAAACAAATTAATAATCATGTTTGTATAAAAACAGATAAATCATGCACGTTCTAGGGTCGGTTTAGTGAAATAGGAGCAAAAGTTTATAACTCTCAACCTGAGTTCGAAAAGCATTTCTGAGGGTCATAAACCATGCACGGTATGAGAAAAGGAATTTGTCCATCCTCAGTGCATGGTGAGATACTTTTTATATTTTAAAAAATAAATAACAATTAATTAGACGCACTTACAGACATCGAAACACAACCACAAAAGATGAGGCATATGACGGCTCTAACCCCCTACTCACACGATATTATCTACATTAAGAGAATAGGTGCTAGCAATAATATGATATAATCGAACCTAAAATTTCTCAGTTACAACTTAAGAGAATTATTATTAGACCATTGTATTGAGTGACAATATTAAAACAATAATTAATTAAACATAATAACATAATCCTAACAGAGTGTCTGTGAGTGTACCAACAACATCCTCCGGATCCTTTTGGTGAGGATCTTGGAGATTAGTTCATCGTGTCCGTTTATCGTGTATTGTGTGATCAGTTTTTATCAAGTATCATTTATGTATAATTTTAAATAAAAATATTTAAAATTATTTATGATCGTACATTGTACAATACATGAACATGATTCATAAATCTCCGAAATACTTGCAAACTAAGAGGATCCGGATTCGTGAGGGTAGGTAGACAAAAACGGTCCGACATCATTTCACCAACCACAGAGACTAAAGAGAGAGAAGCTTCCACTTGTTTCTCTTCGTCTGTCTCTCAGATTTGGGGGGATTTTATAGAAGTTGGGAATTAGGAATTTGAATTTATAATATAATGTGGTGCTCCCCAGCTCCTGCTCTCCTTGCTCTTCTGCTCTGCGTTTTGAGCGCGGAAGCCTCGGTCCACGAGTACGCCGCAGAGAGATTCGCCACCAAAGGCAGCGCCTTCGTCGTCCACGGCGGAAGCGAGGGAATTTACTCTTCCGCCTCTACCCAGTCCTCCTCCGTCTCCGCCAGCGGTGGCTCCTACATACGGTAAAGTACATCGTTGAACTCCTACATCCAGTTTTAACTTGCATTTGGCTAAGATCTGATGCACATTTGAGTTCATTTGAATATTTGATACATGGGGTTCATGAATTCTGGTTGATAAATTGCTTGCTTGGTAAAAACTAAAAAGCCGAAAGCTGTTCATGAATTCTTGTGTCTTTCTTTGACATTTGTTAAACCCTGTTTGTACAAAAAGAGTCTGATTTGCTGTTGTAATTTGGAACCAGCTTCGAAAAGGTTACGTTTCGGAGAAGCAGAGAATCAGCAAACTTGAGCTCATGGCCAGTCCATGCCATTGTTTTTGATGTGGAAGATAGAGAGACCATTGGCGGTTCAGCTTACGGTGGTCAAAGAGCAGTATGTTGCTCGGGGGATCTCGCAAAACTCGGGGTGTGTGCACAAGGAGAGATCATTCACCGCCGGTTGACTGAGAATCCAGGTTGGCCCCAGGTTTTTGGTGTATCCTTTGAAGAAAATGAGGAAGTTGCCACATTGCCGTCCAAATCGATACAGATTATAAAAACCGGGATGTACAATTTGTATTTCATTCATTGTGATCCGAGTATTAAGGATGTGGTTGTGGAGGGGAAAACTATATGGAAAAATCCTAGCGGGTACTTACCTGGTAGAATGGCTCCGTTTATGAATTTCTATGGGTTTATGTCCCTTGCCTTTGTCATACTTGGGGTCGGTTGGTTCTTGCAATATGCAAGACTTTGGAGAGAAGTGTTCCCGTTGCAGAATTGCATCACTCTGGTAATAACCCTCGGTATGTTTGAGATGGCTCTCTGGTATTTTGAGTATGCTGAATTCAACGAGACGGGGGTTAGGCCAACTGGGATAACTGCATGGGCAGTAACGTTTGGGACAGTTAAACGGACGGTAGCACGGGTGATACTCTTAATGGTCTCCATGGGTTATGGTGTTGTGAGGCCTTCCCTTGGTGGGCTTACATCAAAGGTGATTTTGCTTGGATTGACCTTCTTCTTGGCATCAGAAGTTCTTGAGATGGTAGAAAATGTTGGTGCAGTAAGTGATCTTTCCGGAAAGGCGAGATTGTTCTTGGTTCTTCCTGTGGCAATATTGGATGCGTTCTTCATTGTTTGGATATTTACTTCCCTCTCCGCAACTTTAAATAAGCTTCAGGTACTTTGGTTTTCGTCCCAAGATTTTGGTGAATTAATTTTCATTTAAGAGCTTTGTTTGCTAGTTTCAAACTAGTTGCTTCTTATTGAATATGCTGATCTTTGAAATGTTATTTCTCTATGTAGTAAATTACCTAAAAGTACCATTAAAATGGTAGGGACATGTAAGACAGGACCTGTAACCCATGTATACTAATAAATTAGATAATCCACACTATTATGGATTCATGACCCATCATGTCAAGTCCTGTCCATTTCACATTTGACACAACAAACAAAGGGCTAGACTCAAGTCCATTTTAATTGGTGACAACCTATTCCAACCAGCTCACCAAACGGGCAGGGCCTATTTGGTGGACTAGATGGTATTGGGCCTTAGGCATAGGATTGGATTGACAAGGATAGGTAAGACATGACTTGTAATCCATGTATAAGGGTAGGTTAGATACCCACTCTATTGTGGATTCATAACCCATCATGTCCAGTCTTGTTCATTTCACATTTTGACACAACAAACAATAGACTGGACTCAAGTCCATTTTAATTGGTCACAACCAATCCCAACCAGCCCGCCAAACAGGCTCTTAGGGTATGAGGATATAAAATATAATCTTCTCAATTTGTGTATTCCATTTCACCAAAATGAAAGAATAAAGGTGCTTGAATATGTAGGAATATGAGAACCAACCTATACTATTCATCTCGAGATGTGGTATATGCCAACTACATGTACTTGATTCTGATTTATCCGATCATTTGCCATCAGGCCCCAACAGTTGATCCCTGTAATTGTCGTGTTTGTGGCTTACTGATTTTCTTGCTTGTGTGTTGTGACAGGCTAGGCGAATGATGGTTAAACTAGACATTTACAGAAAGTTTACGAACGCTTTGGCAGTGACTGTTATTGTATCTGTGGGTTGGATATGCTATGAGGTAATCTTGTGCATCCTCAGGATACTTTTTACTTGCGCAAAATGATTTGCGTCTGTTGAATGCGTTTTTGTGTAACTCTCTTTGTTTTTAATTTGTTTAAGTCAGTTATTACACGTTGATGTTTTTCGACTTCGTACTTGCAGCTATATTTCAAATCAAATGATGTTTACAATGAGCAGTGGCAGAACGCATGGATCGTCCCTGCCTTCTGGCAAGTTTTATCTTTCTCTCTTCTATTTGTCGTCTGCATTCTTTGGGCGCCATCGCAGACCTCAACAAGGTAAATACCTGGCTTCCATGATTCATCTTCTTTCATCCTCCTCACTTACAAAACTTTGTTCTTGTTTAACAAGGTAAATACAGGGGACATCTCCCATAGTTTACTTGAACTCTAGTGACCGTATCCCCGCCCTGTTTTTCTTTTTTTATTAGATATGCGTACTCTGGAGATAGCGAAGAGTTTGACAAGGACGATACGACTTTGACGCTCATAAAACCGGCCCTAACGCCTGCGAAGGATGCCGGTAGTGCTCTTGAAACTAGACCGCTTCAAGGCAGTAATGGGGCGTCAAATGGCGGCGATGAAGAAGACAAGATAGAGTAAGAAGAGAACCCAGCTGGAATATTTGTTGGCATTGCAACAATATCCAGCTGCTCCAACACGACGCAGGGAACATATGATACACAGAGGAGCAAGGATCATGGCATATAAAATTGTATGTTGTTGAGGTTATAAAATTAGATAGCGTGGTTTAATGTTTGCTTTTTAGTCCTTAATGTATTTGTTTATTTGGCTACTGAATTTTCTCCAAGGAGAAAAAAGATGCGTATCATTGGCGGTTTGCAAGCGGTGGTTTGTCTTGGTGGTTAAGCCCTCCTCCCCTTCCCTTGGTTTGACTTGAGGGGCTAAAACAATGCTATGCTTGAATATGATCTCGGGTCGAGAAATTCAATCTGTAATCATCAGTTTTGTACGGTACAGAGATACATACGATACCTAATTACATGAGAAACAAAGCTGCCTCGCCGAAATTGAAAGAGGGAGACAGCCCAGGCACCCTTATCTAAAATTCAATTTTCCAATTTGCTTATTAAAGGCTTAAAAATATGACATGGTGTACAAGTAAGCTGGAGCTACTATAAGAAACGGCTTCTTGATGCTAAAAAAAGATTGGAACAAAGCACACACAAGACAATTCGAGTATGAACAAATGAAACAAAATCTAGACCGTGGTAGTAATAATAAATAACATGCTTACAGGGCAGGAGCATTCGGGCGTGCAGACTTGGCCACTCTGTAGTGCTCCAACCGAGATCTTCATAAAACATTCTGACCTCCCCCAATCAACAGAATATTGAACCATATAGGGTTTTTAATGAAATGGAAAGCTTGATGAATCCCAGACCGACCAGCACCGTCATCACCCAAACACTCCCAAAAAATTCAAAGAATGTGTCCTAGTTTCTAAACTTGCAAAACTTAACTTCAACTGATCACATTCACTGAGATCTCCTCCTCAAGTGCTGGGATACTGAGTACCCCTCAAAGAAATCCAATACAGCCATCTCCAAATCCTCGGTCGTATACTTGATGTAATTTTCTGGATGCTTCCCACTTTCTATATGGCTCCTAAACCGCCCAAGGAACGACCTGTATGCTGGGATCAACTTCTCTGAAATAGATATCCTTAGCTCCTCCCTAAGCTGAGTATCCGGTATCAACCAAGTAGCTTGAGTCCTATGAACCTCCTCAAACATAGCATTGAAAGACTTGAACCTCTCTCTCAATGCACTCTTCGACACCCCGGAAGAAAAACTCCCACTCACATGCAACCCTTCGTCTCTCAAACAATACAACACCCCGACCCAAGTAGCTCTCTGGTAACTAGTGGCTGCCTGGCGGAACTTCCCGGTCAACTTCCTCAAGTAATCATCTCCAATCATCTCCCTCAATTCCGGGGACCCTTTGACCTTTTGAACAATGTAATGAACATTGTTCATCATAAACAAGTGAGCTATTGAAGCATCCTTATAGTGCTTAGACTTGCCATCCAAATTAAATTGCAAAATCACAATAATCCAAATCAAATGCAGAGCCAGAGGGGTTTTCCCTTCTAGCTCTGCGAACTCCATATCCGGAGTCGTGGGGTCGCCGGAGTACCGCGACCCCGTGGACGGCTTCGACACAATAAGGTCATTCAAAGTCTGCTTATAATCCGATATCAAACTGATGTAATTCATCACATACCGAGTCAATGGATGAATCGTTCCTCCCGGGACTGGAACCCTAGAGGGTTCACGAAGCACGGCGTTCTCAAACTCCGATAGAATCCCCCTCGCCGCCTCCGCCAGCCTCGACAGTATCTCCACCGCCTGAATCCGAATCGACTCCGATGATTCTGAATCGAAAACGGATTCAATATCTGGCATCAAGTCCATCAGAGCGTCGTGCAAGTCGAGAATCTTGAAGAGCTTCTCGGGAGACCTCCGGCTTATGCTGATGGCCTCGGCGAAGTTGAAGACCTGAATCGCGGGGCCCTTGACTGTCTCCATAAAGCAAGCATCATCCATGGCGGTGCCGATGCCGTTGAAGATTTGCTCGCAAAGCTTTTTCTCGGAGGCGAAGACGGTCCTCACGCAGGCCTTGGCGGCGCGTATCCACCGTCGGATCTTGGTCTCCAGCTGCTCCCACTGAAGTCTCTGAACGTCGCCGATGCTCAGCTTCTCAATCCCTAGCTTCCGGAAACTGGAGTCCACCGCCCCCTTCCTTACGCTGCCGTACACCTGGATACACTCGCGTGGGTAGCCGGCGGCGATCATCCGCTCGGCGATGTTGCGGAGATCGAAGACCGCATCGGAGGGGATGAGATCGAGCTCGCGGATGCTGCTGGCGGACCTGTAGCTGCTAGTGTTCGACGAATCGCCGCGCTGGAGAAGCTCGTCGACGTCAACGGCAGAGACGGAGGAGGCCTTAGGTGTGGTCAAACCGCTGTCATCTTCAGCCGGGTAGTCCTCGAACTCGGGGCTCGAATCAGCGATGCCGGAGTGAGTTGACGAGCTCGGATCGGCGGAGGAAAGAGAGTCGGGCTCGATGGGAGTGGTGTGGTTGAGGAGGATGTTGCGGAACTCGTCCTCCAACCGAGCCATGGCGATCTGGATGGCGGAGTTGAGCTTGGAATGGTCATCCTCGGAGGCAAGGGTGGCGGAGGACAAGGAGCGTTGGATTTCATCGACGGCCTGTAAGTAGCGATCGACTTCGTCCCGTTGGCCGTCGAATATCATTCGTTCCCGGGCCTCCTCGGAAGCCGTGGAGTCCCAGAGGAGAATAATCTTCTCCGCCGCGTCTAGCTCTTGAAGCGAAGGCGGCGGCGGTGGAGATTCCATGAAATGAAACGCTGCGTTAAGAGGTTGCGGTGGTGGTGGGGGGAATTGAAATTTTGGGGAAAGAATGGGGAAGTTGAGGGAAATAGGATGATGGTCTTTCAAAAAAGGCAGCTGTGGGATTTTGCTAAATTTTTGTCAGTTGTGGTGGAAAATGGAAAAATGAAAAGACATGGAAGGAGGGTAAAACGGAAGCAGCAAGATCAGCTGGACTTTGTTTTTGACACTTGGGGCCTTTTCGTTACTTTGTAGTCGGAGACTAAAATGTTAAATTTTAAACATAAAATTTAAATTTGGCAACCTATATGATATTTTGACATCTTTCAAAATTTTGCGCTCTACCGGTATGTCAAATTAAATATTATTTTATAACACTATTTTCTTTTCTTTTTATTTTATTAAGCAATTATTTTATGCCCATTATTTCTAAACTTCTCCTATCATCTTCGTTCTCTATTTTCTAAATCTTTGTATACTTGCTTCTCTTCTCCATCAACAACCTATCGTCCTCTACCAATCACATCGATATACTCGAACTCACCTGAAATCCAAAGGCCACAACCAAAGTCGAGGGATTGTAGGTGGAGGAATTGTTGCTGAGGGATTGCAATATGTCGGTGACGATCTTCCTCGAATCGTTGCCTAGGCATTGCAACGAGGATTCGAGAGCTCTTGTTTGAGCAACAGTGCGAAATGGAGTCTTACATTTGGGTTTTAGGTTGAGACCGTGAGGTTAGTTTCTAGGTTTGGTTATGAGAAAAGGGAAGAAGAACGACGAGCAGCGCTTCTCAGGTTTGAGTGAGAGAGGAGAGTTGCATATCTGATAAAAAAATTAATAAAATAACATTTAAAAATTAATTAAAAAATATTTGAAGCTGTTGTCAAATTTGATAGCAAGGGGGAGAGCTGCTATTCCATGTCATGCCACATCAGATTTGGCTTCTCGGCTGGAAAACATTGCAGCTATCTTTTTTTTACTGTTATTGTTGATTTGGACATTTTGACATCTCCTTTGAAGATGATCTTATATTTGGACGAGAAAAATAAACTTAAAATTTTGACAAAAGTTAAAATTTATAAATTAACACGCATCAATTTCTGGAATCATAAATGTAGAAATTTATAATTTTTATGTAGAAAAAAAAATGGAATTTGGAACCTCCAATTCCTAAGTTTATATTTGATGTAAATGTGACATCCCGTCCCGGAGTTATCAGAACCGTACGCGTGAAATTACCATTTTACCCCTAGTTACTTTGTTATGTTGTTTGGTTGTTTGTGTGGTGTTGGCAAACTTGGGCCACACACACACACACACCCACACACTGTCTCACTCACCCTCACCCTCTGTCTCTGTCTCTGTCACTCTCTCCCTCCCGTGTCTCTCTCTCCCCCTTCTTCTCCACCTTATACGTACGGACACACACACACACACCCTAAAACGTCACAGATCGAGGGATCCAAGGCTACCATTGAACTCGTGGAGCTGAGAGGAGTCTAGTGGTGCCATTTTCAGGTAAGAATCTCGACGTTTTCACGTCGATTTCACAAGGTCCGTTTTGGGTTACTATTCATGCAAACCTAATCTAGGATGTTTTTGGACTTTTTAAGCTGGTGGTTGTGTTAGTGAGGCCTCAAGGAGCTTGGGAATGCTTCGTTGGGTGAATTTGGACGTCGGGAAAGCTTAGTTTCAAAGTTGGCCGAACTTGGATCGTTGTTGCAGGTGAGATTCTTTATTTTTAGGCCTTAAAAGTAGTCTAACGTGATTCTACTAGTCCTAAGCTTCATTTTGGTATAAAGAACGTGAAAAATGGTTGAAAAACGAGTGAGAAAACGAAGTTTGAAAAATTTCCAGTTTTCCGGCGGCGGCGGCGCAGGCGGCGGCGGCTCGCCGGAGAGGACAGAGGAATATTCCGTTAAGTTTTAACGGAATATTCCTACAGGACTAATGGCGTCAGTTACGGAATATTCCGTCAGTCAAACGGCACGTGGCCGCGCGTGGGGGCGTGTGGACCCGTGCCATTCCAGGCGCGTGGGGGCGCGTGACGTGTCCAAAATTTTTTTTAAAAATATGGTTGTGATCGTGAGGTTGTGTAGGTCACGTTGGTATATTCATTTGTCCATTTTGAGCAATGTATGAGAAGTTATTTTGAATGGACGGTTATGTGCTCTAAAGTTAACGTTTTTATAGTTAATTCGCATATAGGTGACACGTATCCCGAGGACGAGCGTGCACATTCGAGGCAGGGGGCTACGACCCTTCTACATACCAATGAGTGGGCTTTTGTTTTCCGTATATACCTATATACATGTCTTTTCCCAGAAATTAATATAAATGCCTCGTTTTACGCTATTAATTTTCATATGATTGATGGTTATGCATGATTAGTAGCATATGAGTTGATTTATATATTTATTCTTACGTCGTTTACATATATGTTGGTGCTGTGGCGGCTTAGGTAAGTGTCAGGTAAGTTTTGTTTACATTCGCATTAAATAGTGATTCGAAGTGCTTAGAGAGCTCATAACCTGCATCCCCGGTGTTAGTGCTCCCGCCCAGAGTAGGGCACAGTCCTTCACGTGTTGTTCACCTCCTGCACCACACGCTCAGCTTGAATCCAAGTTAGGTGCACAGTCCTGTCGTACAGACCACTATAGGTGGTTCCGACTCGTAGGTGACCCGCGATTATTCGCACAGCCTTCACGTGATCGTAGCACTAGAGCGTTTATATGTATTGCACCCAGGCTTGTCGTACAGACCACCATAGGTGGTTCCGACTCGTGGGCAGGTTTAGGGATTGAGTTGTGATCTGAGCTCTAGATTCAGCCGTACAGGTCACTTAGGGGACTCCGGCTGCTAGTTTATTATGCTATTGATGTAATATACATACCCGAGCACTTGCATGTTATTATGAGGCGTTGAGCATGACGGCATACATTTGAGCATGTTGGCATACCCTTGAGTATACTTGGCATATTTATACCTACGTTTATATGTTTATTTTCTGGGAAGTATACAGGTTTTACGGCGAGGGGTTATTATATGTTTTATGAAATGGTTTTCTAAGAGATTTATTTTGCCCACTCACGCTTTTGTTTTTGCGCCCCTCCAGGTTCTAGTAGCTTAGCGGATTCGGTGGTTTTCCCCAGGGACGTCCCGGCATTCTGACAGACCTTCACCTATGTAGGGTCGCCTACGGGCGCACTATTGTCGTAACATTTATTTTTGGGCTGCTGTATGTTTTAGGCTCTGAATTCAGTGTTTTAATTGCACTAGCACATATCCTACTACTTTTTAGTTGCTAGTTTTAAATTATTCGTACTTTTCTATTACTGTTTCTAGCTTCCGCACTGTGCACATGGCTACGTCACTTCCACGTGGCGGCCAGCATACCCCGATCTCGGTTGGGGTGTGTCAGTTTGGTATCAGAGCCTAGGTTTGGCAGTCCTGTGTCTTTTGTGGGTATTCTAATGGTTTTGGTGCCTTCTGTCAGAATTATGCCGCCTCGTCGGGAACCACGCCGTTCAGATGAGTCTAGTTTCCCCGATATCACTCAGCTGGGGGAAGCTATTGCTACTGCTATCCAGGCAGCTATCCGCCCTCCCCAGAGGACTCCTCTGGAAACTATGTACAACCTGAAATTGGATAAATTCCACGGTCACGAGGGGCACGAGGCCGCGGAGCGTTGGTTGGAGCATATTGAAAAGACTTTCCGAGTGTTGAACAACCAGGGGAATCTCCCTGTGGAGAGATGGGTCGAGACTACTTCATGGTTTCTGGGTACGGAGTCTGCATCCTGGTGGGAGCAGGAGCTTCGTAGTTTGACTCCAGCCGAGAAGACTGATTGGAATGTTTTTATTAGGTTGTTCAAGAGGAGGTTTATTCCCCCAGAGTATACTGACCGCAAGAAACAGGAATTCACTGAATTGAAACAGCGGAAGATGTCTGCGAATGAGTATTATCGGAAGTTTACCGACTTGTCTCGCTACCACCCTGAGATTGCTAGTAACCCAGCGGAGATGCTTCGCCGTTTTCGCATCGACACTAAGAAGAAGTGGCGTTCGATGTCAACCTCCACTCATTGTGATACATACCAGGAGTTCTACGAGGTTTTGTTGAGAGTCGAGGACTCTGAGAATATGCCGAGTGAGAGCGATGAAGATGAAAAGAGTGGTAATCAGAAGAAGGACGACAAAGGTAAAGGTCAGGCATCGCTCGGGCCTCGTCAGACTCAAAACTTCAAGAAGGGTGGTAACAGCTCTAGTTCTTCTAGTGGTGGTTTCAGCGCCACGGGTCAGGGACGATGAGGTAGATGGACTGGTGGCTTTCGAGGCCAGAGACAGGGGGACGGTGGTCGAGGTAGGGCCCCACTTTGCCGAAGGTGTAATAATCGGCACACGGGCGAGTGTAGACGAGGTAGCAGTGGTTGTTTCACTTGCGGGCAGATAGGGCATCGAGCGGCGCAATGTCCCCAGGGTCAGCAGCAAAGACCGCAGCAGACTTTCCTGCCACCACCCGCCCCTATCCAGCAGATTCAAGGTCCTAGTGGTTACGGACAGGCAGGTCGAGGTGGTGCCTACCACTACCAGGGTGATGCTGTACCCTATGCCTCGGGACAGTATCAGTATCCTCAGGACCCCTACTCCCAGGGTAGTTACCCTCAGTATTCGGGCGGCTATATGCCGTATCCTCCAGCTCCAGCCGGCAGTTCTCAATGGTATCAGGGAGGACAGATTCAGACAGGAGAGATTGCTACCAGTAGTGCGGGGTCTTCGAGACAGACTGGTCAGCCCAGTCAGGGGCGTAGTACGCAGGGTCGTGGTGCTCAGGCGAACCGAGGTCGTGGTGGACGGCAGCAGGGCCAGGGGCGTATACACAACATTTCTCTGCAAGATGCTCAGAACAACCCGGATCTGATTATGGGTACGTTAAATATTCTTGGTTATTTTGCTAGAGTCTTAATTGATTGTGGAGCTACACATTCTGTGATTTCTCATACATTTGCTCAAGTGACGCAACCTCGCCCCACACCCCTAGGGTACGATTTAGAGTTCGCTATGCCTAGAGGGGAGAGATGTATTGTGGATCGTGTGTACCCAGGTTGTCCAGTGATAGTTGAGGGCGTGGTTATGCCCGCTGATCTTATCCCGTTAGATATTGTGGATTTTGATGTGATTTTGGGCGCGGATTGGTTGCACCCCAATCATGCCAATATTGATTGTTACGGGAAAATAGTTACATTTCGTCGTCCTGGACTACCCGTGGTTACCTTTGTTGGTGAGCAGAGTGGGGTGAGACATGGTGTTATTTCGGCGCTACGAGCGAAAAAGTTGTTGACTAAGGGTTGTCAGGGGTATTTAGCCCATGTGGTGTTGGATGAGGCTCCTCCTTGTGGTGTTGAGGACGTGAGGGTTGTCCGACACTTTCCAGATGTTTTCCCCGAGGAATTGCCTGGGTTACCACCAGATCGAGATTTGGAGTTCACTATCGAGTTGCTTCCAGGTACTAATCCTATTTCTTTGACTCCTTATCGTATGGCACCTGCGGAATTAAGGGAATTAAAGGTGCAGCTGCAGGAATTAGTGGATAAGGGTTTTATTCAGCCTAGTACTTCACCTTGGGGCGCTCCAGTATTGTTTGTGAGGAAGAAAGACGGAACTTTAAGGCTATGTATCGATTACAGGCAATTGAACCGGGTGACGATTAAAAACCGTTATCCGTTGCCTCGTATCGATGATTTATTCGATCAGCTTAGAGGTGCTTGTGTGTTCTCTAAGATTGACTTGAGGTCTGGGTACTATCAGCTGAAGATTAATAGGAATGACGTTCCTAAGACGGCGTTCAGGACTCGTTATGGTCATTACGAGTTTCTAGTTATGCCGTTTGGGTTGACGAATGCACCGGCAGCTTTTATGGATTTAATGAACCGGGTTTTCCAGCCTTACTTGGATAGGTTCGTGATTGTTTTTATCGATGATATTCTGGTGTATTCTAAGTCGAAGGCGGAGCACGTTCGACATCTTACCTTGGTGTTGAAAAGGTTGAGGGAACATCAATTATATGCTAAGTTTAGCAAGTGCCAGTTTTGGCTAAATCAAGTGGCGTTTCTGGGGCATGTTATCTCTGCTCAAGGTGTTCTGGTTGATCCTCAGAAGGTTGCGGCGGTGGAGAATTGGGAGCAGCCGCGAACCGTCACCGAGGTGAGAAGTTTCCTTGGCTTGGCGGGATACTATCGGAGATTTGTTAAAGATTTCTCGGTGATCGCCTTACCCTTGACGAGACTTACGAGGAAAGATGTTAAATTTGAGTGGGACGATAGGTGTGAACAGAGTTTCCAACAGTTGAAGCGTTGTCTCACTCAAGCACCTGTTCTGGCACTCCCGGACGATAATGGTGATTTCGAGGTTTATAGTGATGCGTCCTTGAATGGTCTGGGATGTGTGTTGATGCAGCATGGTAGGGTGATTGCTTACGCTTCACGTCAATTAAAACCCCATGAGTTGAATTACCCTACTCATGATTTGGAGTTGGCCGCTATCGTTTTTGCGTTGAAGTTGTGGAGACACTATCTTTATGGTGAAAAGTGTAGGATCTTTACTGATCATAAGAGTCTCCAGTACCTTTTTACCCAAAAAGAACTTAATCTTCGTCAGCGGAGGTGGATGGAGTTGCTCAGCGATTACGACTGCACGATTGATTATCACCCTGGTCGTGCGAATGTAGTTGCTGATGCGCTTAGTCGGAAGTCTCAAGGCCGCATTAATGCGTTGTATGCAAGCCGTATTCCTCTTTTGACGGACTTGCGTGCTACAGGAGTGAGGTTAGAAGCGGAAGATCGAGATGTGGCTTTACTTGCTAATTTTCAGGTTAGGCCCATCTTAGTTGATCGGGTGCTCGCGGCTCAAGTAGATGATGAGCAGACTCAAGAATTTATCCAAGCTCGAGAACAAGGTAGGAGGAGAGACCTCAGAGTACGAGAATCGGATGGCATGTTGATGCAAGAAGGAAGAATGTTCGTGCCGAATGTTGTGGATTTAAAGAAAGAAATTCTGGATGAAGCACATATCTCGGCTTACGCCATGCATCCAGGAGCTACTAAAATGTATCATACCATTCGACCATTTTATTATTGGCCGGGTATGAAAAGGGAGATAGCCGAGTATGTGAGTAGGTGTGCCATTTGTCAGCAGGTTAAGGCGGAAAGGAAAAAGCCGTTTGGATTATTGCAGCCGCTTCCCGTTCCCGAGTGGAAATGGGAAAATATCACCATGGACTTTGTGTACAAGCTCCCGCGTACACATAACGGTTTTGATGGCATTTGGGTGATCGTTGATCGACTCACTAAGTCCGCACATTTTATTCCAGTGAGAGAGAGGTATTCTTTAAGTCGATTAGCGGAGTTGTTCATCTCGAAGGTAGTGAAGTACCATGGTGTTCCGGTGAGTATTGTCTCGGATCGTGATCCACGGTTCACATCTAAGTTTTGGGTGGCTTTCCAGGAAGCTTTAGGTACGAGACTACTCTACAGTACGGCGTATCATCCGCAGACAGACGGGCAGTCTGAGAGGACTATACAGACCTTAGAGGATATGTTACGAACTTCGGTGTTACAATTTGGTGATGCTTGGCACCAGCGGCTGGATTTGATGGAATTTGCCTATAATAATAGTTTTCATTCAAGTATTGGCATGGCACCATTTGAGGCCTTGTATGGTAGAGCTTGTCGCACGCCGTTGTGTTGGTCAGAAGTCGGAGAAAGGGTCTTAGTAGGTCCGGAGATTGTTGAGGAGACTACCCAGAACGTCCAGGTAATCAAGACTAATTTGAGAGCGGCACAGGACAGACAAAAGAGTTTAGCGGATCGGCATGCTACAGACAGGGTGTACGAGGTCGGAGATTGGGTATTTTTGAAGCTTTCGCCGTGGAGAGGTGTAGTGAGATTTGGGAAGAAGGGCAAATTAAGTCCACGGTACATCGGACCATACATGGTCGTGGAGCGAGTTGGTGAGGTAGCTTACAGGTTGGAGTTACCTCCGGAGCTAGCCAGAGTGCATAACGTTTTCCACGTGTCTATGCTCCGACATTATGTTGCTGATCCATCCCATGTGATACCTCCTCAACCGTTGGAAATTAACCCAGACTTGACGTATGACGAGGAACCGGTGACGATCATCGATTGGAAAGAGAAGGTTCTGCGGAACAAGACGGTGAAATTAGTGAAGGTTTTGTGGAGGAACCATTCCGTTGAGGAAGCGACGTGGGAGACAGAAGATCGGATGAGGGATTTGTATCCTAGATTGTTCTTTGGCTACTAGGGGCATTAATTGGTCAGTTTGAATTTCGGGACGAAATTTTATTAAGGTGGGTAGGTTGTGACATCCCGTCCCGGAGTTATCAGAACCGTACGCGTGAAATTACCATTTTACCCCTAGTTACTTTGTTATGTTGTTTGGTTGTTTGTGTGGTGTTGGCAAACTTGGGCCACACACACACACACACCCACACACTGTCTCACTCACCCTCACCCTCTGTCTCTGTCTCTGTCACTCTCTCCCTCCCGTGTCTCTCTCTCCCCCTTCTTCTCCACCTTATACGTACGGACACACACACACACACCCTAAAACGTCACAGATCGAGGGATCCAAGGCTACCATTGAACTCGTGGAGCTGAGAGGAGTCTAGTGGTGCCATTTTCAGGTAAGAATCTCGACGTTTTCACGTCGATTTCACAAGGTCCGTTTTGGGTTACTATTCATGCAAACCTAATCTAGGATGTTTTTGGACTTTTTAAGCTGGTGGTTGTGTTAGTGAGGCCTCAAGGAGCTTGGGAATGCTTCGTTGGGTGAATTTGGACGTCGGGAAAGCTTAGTTTCAAAGTTGGCCGAACTTGGATCGTTGTTGCAGGTGAGATTCTTTGATTTTTAGGCCTTAAAAGTAGTCTAACGTGATTCTACTAGTCCTAAGCTTCATTTTGGTATAAAGAACGTGAAAAATGGTTGAAAAACGAGTGAGAAAACGAAGTTTGAAAAATTTCCAGTTTTCCGGCGGCGGCGCAGGCGGCGGCGGCTCGCCGGAGAGGACAGAGGAATATTCCGTTAAGTTTTAACGGAATATTCCTACAGGACTAACGGCGTCAGTTACGGAATATTCCGTCAGTCAAACGGCACGTGGCCGCGTGTGGGGGCGTGTGGACCCGTGCCATTCCAGGCGCGTGGGGGCGCGTGACGTGTCCAAAATTTTTTTTAAAAATATGGTTGTGATCGTGAGGTTGTGTAGGTCACGTTGGTATATTCATTTGTCCATTTTGAGCAATGTATGAGAAGTTATTTTGAATGGACGGTTATGTGCTCTAAAGTTAACGTTTTTATAGTTAATTCGCATATAGGTGACACGTATCCCGAGGACGAGCGTGCACATTCGAGGCAGGGGGGCTACGACCCTTCTACATACCAATGAGTGGGCTTTTGTTTTCCGTATATACCTATATACATGTCTTTTCCCAGAAATTAATATAAATGCCTCGTTTTACGCTATTAATTTTCATATGATTGATGGTTATGCATGATTAGTAGCATATGAGTTGATTTATATATTTATTCTTACGTCGTTTACATATATGTTGGTGCTGTGGCGGCTTAGGTAAGTGTCAGGTAAGTTTTGTTTACATTCGCATTAAATAGTGATTCGAAGTGCTTAGAGAGCTTATAACCTGCACCCCCGGTGTTAGTGCTCCCGCCCAGAGTAGGGCACAGTCCTTCACGTGTTGTTCACCTCCTGCACCACACGCTCAGCTTGAATCCAAGTTAGGTGCACAGTCCTGTCGTACAGACCACTATAGGTGGTTCCGACTCGTAGGTGACCCGCGATTATTCGCACAGCCTTCACGTGATCGTAGCACTAGAGCGTTTATATGTATTGCACCCAGGCTTGTCGTACAGACCACCATAGGTGGTTCCGACTCGTGGGCAGGTTTAGGGATTGAGTTGTGATCTGAGCTCTAGATTCAGCCGTACAGGTCACTTAGGGGACTCCGGCTGCTAGTTTATTATGCTATTGATGTAATATACATACCCGAGCACTTGCATGTTATTATGAGGCGTTGAGCATGACGGCATACATTTGAGCATGTTGGCATACCCTTGAGTATACTTGGCATATTTATACCTACGTTTATATGTTTATTTTCTGGGAAGTATACAGGTTTTACGGCGAGGGGTTATTATATGTTTTATGAAATGGTTTTCTAAGAGATTTATTTTGCCCACTCACGCTTTTGTTTTTGCGCCCCTCCAGGTTCTAGTAGCTTAGCGGATTCGGTGGTTTTCCCCAGGGACGTCCCGGCATTCTGACAGACCTTCACCTATGTAGGGTCGCCTACGGGCGCACTATTGTCGTAACATTTATTTTTGGGCTGCTGTATGTTTTAGGCTCTGAATTCAGTGTTTTAATTGCACTAGCACATATCCTACTACTTTTTAGTTGCTAGTTTTAAATTATTCGTACTTTTCTATTACTGTTTCTAGCTTCCGCACTGTGCACATGGCTACGTCACTTCCACGTGGCGGCCAGCATACCCCGATCTCGGTTGGGGTGTGTCATAAATATGTGTCATTCCAACTTTCTATGATTGAGAGTTTAAAAATAACAAATTATGTATTCAAATTCTGTTGTTCTTTTAGGTTAACCAAACAAGAAAATTCACAAATTCTTGAAAATAAAATTCCATCATTTCAATTTCCTTCATTTTAAAATTTCTTAGTAATCTTAAAATTCCTCATCCAAACAGAGTGTTAAAGTAATGTTAAGGAGACCAAATGCTTAAACTAAATGATGTGATTATTGATAATTGTATTATTAATTAATTACCGATTAATGTGCTTATTTCTTATTAGTGATACATGATTTGATTTGTAAATTTAGTTGAAAATTTTGGTCTCGCTAGGATTATCCCTTATCTTAAAAGTTAATCTGCGTTATGTTTAAGTAGAGAGAGTTTGGCATGTGTGATTGCATTATTTGTTAAGACATCGAAATGGCGTCATCTAAGGGGGAACCGGATCCAATAACATTGAGTCTGCTGAGTAGGCGATCCGGACCGTTGAAATTTAATCTAACGGCTACAAACAAGGGGCCTCTAAAAATTATAATAATTTTAGCCATTGAATCAAATTTCAACGGTCCGGATCGTCAATCAGCAAGCTTAGTATATATGGATCCGGAGGGAATCCGGTTCCGTCTAAGGGGTGCATATAAGTTCTTGTACAAACTGGGAATTTTGTTATGGTTAGTTGTACATAATTGATTCATGATCGATTACTGATTGTAAATGTGCATGGGCTTAATGAACTCACCTACACAGTGGCGGGCTCAGAAATTTCGACCTAAAAGGTCATAGTGTAAAAGTTCTGAAAAATGTTTAGACAAAAATAACATGAAATAATAGTATATTTATTCATAATATAAAATTAAAAAAATATGGGTTTGTGTTTGGTAGTTCAGACTATCAAGTACTACTCTGACTTTTAAAATAATTTTCACCATTCGATTTCTTAGAGGCAACCATTAATTTGTTAGGGTCAATCTTCATCGCCATTTTCTAAACTACTTAAAAAAAAAATTTTAAAATAAGATTACAAGCTAAAATTATTTAAAAAAAGTAACCAAAATGAAGACACAAACCTTATACCAAGTAACCAAAATAAAGCACAACCAATTAATCAAAACAAAAGTTCTAAAAGACACTAGGTGCTAGTCAGGTGATAAGCTAGAGCCTAGTGCTTAAGTGGCTAGGTGGACTAGACAGATTTAAGTAAATCTATTTATACGTATAAAAATACATAATTGTATTGGAATACATAAATTGCAAAATAAAATGACATATAAATTAAAGTATTAGAACATATTGAAAATATGAAGAACAAGCATGTAATGAGTGTTCATCCAAGTATTCAACAAGTCTCCTACAATTTATTGAACAAAAAATATTCAAAATGAATTTATCGA